GACAACAGGAAGGTTTTCCACAGTCAGTGGATGAAATTTTGTTCTTCCTACTTATTCTTAATTAAGAGTACACTTCCTGTTCCTGACTTTAAGAGATGGGTGATCAGCATTTCCAAAGACTGTGACTGGACCATTGGTTTATGTGACAATACTTATGTTTACAATATGAGGGATGGATATATCTATGGCCTACGCTGCCAAGGTAACCAGCTCATCTCTCTCACAACAGAGTCTAGTTGGGTTATAAAAGAAACTCCACCTGTAATGAGGTTTGGGATGCAGAAAATTGAAACGCCCCAACAGCATTATAAGGTTTCCCAACAAGTGATCAACACTCCAGGTGGAAATGTGGAACAACAGATGACCAGACCACAAATAGTGGAAGTTGTGTGGAGCTTTCCGGACTCATTATGATTCTTCAGCAGGATCGGGGAGCACCAGAGAATAAACTTACTCACAGTAACAATCAGCTCTACCAGCTCAGACCTCAAGCCTTTTGTTTGTCTCCAGGGTTTAGAAAAGGAAGCGACAAATGAGTTCTCCTTCAGTTCAAGTTTAACGACATCTCCATTTGGAGGATTTCCACAACAATACCAGGATCAGTCAAAATGCTCATGTAGGAAGTTTAAGGTTAAGTCTAGTCATGGATTGTATTAACGAGGGGCATTAGGCTCCAAGTCTTCCCAGTCAATCTGCTCTTGTGGAAAGATTATTGGTTCCCCACCAATCGCAGCGGTACTTTGTGAACTTCTGTAAATAACACCCATGCTGTTGTCCAAAACCCACGTCACCACGTTTCTTATTGACCACCACAGTTGTCAGTTCCTCTTAAAATGCTGATCATCTGTAAATGAACATGTGGTGCTGGCTGTGCAAAAGTCTTATTACTGCTTAAACTTGCAAAGAAAGTCTAAAGTAAGTTTGGTCATCATAAATGGTGCAACTCCAACAGTCTTGAGCTACTTGCTCAAGACAGACTATAGCTGGCTTATTGCTGCCTGAATTTCATCGCTTGCTCACTCTGTATTCATGATATGTTTCTTGTTAATCTTGAAGGAAATTTAACTGAACTACTAACGTTAGAAAACAATTGCAGTCAAACTTGTCTAACCACTCCTTGAGTGTGGTTTACCAGTAGCGAGATAATATCGCCCAGAGAATTGAATGTGTTGCAGACTTAATACGTTGACCAGTAACAGGTTAAATAAAAAGAGCGAAACCCAGTTGTTCTTGAGGTTCATGGTGAATTTCATTAAAAGGGAGTCCAAAGCAATAAAGATTGATTTAAACACTGACTTATATTCAACAAATCTAAGGAGCACTTCCTGCTGGGAAAACATGTCTGACAACATACATACAGAAAGGAGAAGAACTGTACGACTGGGAAAGGAAAATGCCTAAAACACGACCACAGTTACTGAATTTGCCAGTTTATTAAGTACACCTTGTCAGTCTAAAAGGTAAAGTAAATCACTTTGGATTAACTTTTAATTAGTTTCAATTTAAAACTGAAAGACTGAGAACCAGGCTGGAAAATATTGCTGGTCTTACACGACACAAAAACTTTGTGTCATTATGTTAGACAGAGCTCGTTTTTCTACAGTAACTTGTCAGCACATACAGGGCACAATTGTATAAAAGTTTATAATCTAAAAAGTTTATAATTTAAAATATAAAATAGAATCATAATACAGAAATAATACGGAAAATATTACGACGTAATCGGGCTCCGAAGGAGGAGCAGCACCTGAATTTGGACACAGTCCAGGTCTGTAAAAACGCAGTGATTTCCCCTGATTCAGCTCTCGGTAATACGACGAGTCTCATGTTTGGATCTCCAGCTTCTGTTTTCAAGGTCGTCCACTTTCAGTTGGAGTTCCTGACAGTTTAGTTAACAAGTGGCCTCCCAACTTGTTAGTGAGGAAACCACTTCCTCAACTTTACTAATACGAGATTCTGCTGAGGTGAGGCTCTCGGAAAACACTCCGATTGCATCTTTCATTTCTTCATGTAAACTTTTCGCAGGTAAGTTGTAAAATGCATTTTGAGCGACTGAATTGCATCATGAATTGCAATTAGCCTTGGTCGGCTGACCGCTAGCGTTATCTTACTCCATCTTCTCGGTTTCACGGTCGTTCTTAGCATCGTCGAGTCCATCTTTTCTGATTGTTTTCGGTTTAGATCGGCGTAAATACAGCTTTTTGGTTTATTAATGACAACAAAGAAACACAGCGGTTGTTTTATACAATGTAAATGAGCTGATAGATGATAAAGTTTGTATATTTTTAATATGTAGAATGATTTTATTTATCTGATTGACTGAAGCGAGAACACTGCGTTTTCATGTTTGTTTATATGAAAAAAGAAAGTTAGTCAATTTCCCAGTTTATTCTGTGCACCAACAAACTGATACTGAAGTAAATCCTGCCTCAAGCATCAAAGCCTTTATGTTGGCACAACAATAGAAACATTGCTGCCTGGATTTTATCATTTGATCGCATTTTATTACAAGTCCATGTCTTTTCTACCCTAGCACAAAAGTTTGTTTGCAAATTAAACTGATCTGTGTTTTCATGTTGGCACGTCCATATTTCTGCGGTAAAAGTTGCCTGACTCTTCCTATTCTCTGTTTGTTTTAGCAGTGTAAAATGCAAACCAACTTCCAGATAATCCAGACTGTTATTCAACACTGAGTTATATTCAACAAATTTAAGGAGGACTTCCTGCTGGAAAACATGTCGGACAGCATACAAACAAAAAGGAGAAGAAAAGATCCACAAACTATCCTCTGTGACATGTGTGCAGAGGACAGGAAACCAGCAAAGAAGACGTGCATGAAGTGTGAGATCTTCATGTGTGCCCAGC